TAAATGTCCTTAATTCAGTCATCTCTTCTCTTCACTCATGAATCGGGACCTATATCTGAGCTCTTTGATTTTTCTTTCCTCTGCCTCCCTAAATATCCATTTTCCATCTCTCTGGTTTTCTGTCTCTCCTGTTCAGCCAGGGTTGCCATGGTGATATAAGTTTATATATATATATATATATATATATATATATATATATATATATATATATATATTTGGTCTTTTGTCTGCACGCTGCTGTGGAGGATGTGGATTGTTTCCGCTCTGGTGTGTAGCCGCTGCCAAGTGAGCTCATTGGTTGTCTCTGTCTTAAAACGCCAGCAGTGGGTGTGGTTCAAGCAGGTGTCTTTGTCATCCTGAGATGTGGCTTAAACAATTTTCAAATTTCCTTTTTAATCCAATATTACCCATGTCCTCTCCTTCCTTTGCTCCTGTCTCATAACTGTACCCGCTCCCTCTCCTCTATCTACCTGGTCTGTTTACATCCGTTCCTGTCATCCGTCCACCTACAGTCACTACATCCAATAATCTCTATTCTCCTCACAATCCACTCATTGAAATATACGTGAAAAAAAATCAGCAGAGAGAGAGAGCACCCTGGTCCTACACTGTGCTCAGTGTGAGGCTATTTGTCTTACTGTCAGGCCTTTGTGGGCCCAGCGCACTACCTTACAGGAGGGAGGGTTGGAGTCAGGAGGAGCAGCCAGGAGAATTTCAGAGTCTGAAAAGCATTTAGAAAGAGAAGGAAATCCTGAGAAATGAGGGAAATCAAACTTGGCACAGGGATGTTAAAATGATGTGAAGTGAGCTAATTCATAAGAGATAAAATTATGAGCAAACTCAGATGTTCCTCTTTGGGAGATTTGGTTGCTGGCAGCAGGACGGCTCGTATTACAGTGTGGAAACAACAGGAAAAAAATGAAATTACAAGAACAAAGGGACAAGAGAGACACAAATTAATATGTAATGAACAAGTCTGAACAAAAGGGGTGTTACATAAAACTGAAGAGATTAATTTAATTTCTCGGTTAAGCCTTAAAACACAAACATCAACAACAGTTGAGGAATTTGACCTAGTTTGGTTGTTTTACTGAGCTCAGTCTGCTCTTTGGTCTCAAGATACAAATAATTAGATTTACTGTGATCAACATTTTCAAGTTTTTCATCATACCGATTTCACAATCCATGAGTTAATGTCAGATCAATAGGGACTTCTCTGGTTTAATACCAAGTTATAAACTGATACCTAGAAACAGTCTATGCAATGATATCTGAAAGAGATAAACGATGATGGGTTTGAAAGCTACTTAAAAAAGATATTAAGTAAAGAGTTTGACTTAAAGTGTGACACTAAATCAATCATGGTGACTGTGAAAGGAGGGACTGACACCAACAGGCGGATCAGGTTTCAAGGATGACTAAGGTCCTGTTACTGAGAGAGGATTTGATGATTGGGCAGATATTTGTATGTAAAAGCAGCTAAAACAGAGTCTAACAATGACCCCAAGTCAGGGAGAGACATTTTTACACTTTATACTGAATCCAGCTTCAGTCTGGCTGCATAAAACTATAGGTTTTGACAGAAATTGATATTGTGCTAAGAATAAGAAAATTATACAGCAAGTTCTTAGCAGTGGTCCTTTGGGTTCGTCATAAAGCAGGAGAGATAAAGAAGAAGCAACAGCTGTTAACAAGCTAGCTGTGGAATCCCTCTGAGATGATCAGACACTTAATAAACTGGCATTCGACGATTTACCCAAAACTAATATTGAGATCTCAAAAATAACAATAGAGTTTATATCTCTTTATGTTACTAATCAACTGAACATGTATACTTTCTGACTGTTCTTTTAACCGTCTACTGGAGGTAGCATCCTTCAAAATAAAAGCACAGTTTTAATATGAAGCAATGTAAACAAAAAATTGAAGTGTTGTAAATTAAATATGTGAAGGTGAGGGACTGAAAATATCTGATTTTGTAGCTCTAACTTTAGGCTGTTGAGTTGAATGTTACCGTGCCTCCTCCTCAAATCAGTGTGCTTTACTAATGTTCTCCCATTAAGATCAAGTTCTGGATCAGATGTTGCTCATTCTTATTTTTTGCAGCGCTGAGTCAGTTTTCAACATAATGGTTGCATCGGTTGTCACCATGTTGCAAAATGTTGATTACCTGCATGTGCGACACTCTGCAGAGATGTCATAGATGCGAGATGTCTCGCTCTTCAACGAATCCGTGTGATGATTCTTTTCATTTACTTTGAAAACTGGTTGTTTGAGCTGGAAATTCATGATGAGAATGGGTCTTTTTTTTCTGGTTTTTGACTGTATGGCTTTGCACTGTACAGTAAGTGAAGTCAGCTCTATCTGATCCCTAATGGCCCAACATCTCAGTCTTCATTTTAATTATAGTAGACTGTATCATCCCCAAAATAAAACTCTTTTACAGAATATTTTTAAGCAAACTATGAGCATACTATCAAGCACCAGTACCCTTAATGTCACCATCAACCTTGTAATTCATTCATTTCAATTCTGTCATCGATTTTTGTGGCTTGTATTGATGATTCGTTACACCACTATCAACCACTATCACCACTATTCAACAGATGAATGAAAGCAAAGGTCAGAGGGACCCACGAGGATGATTAATCTATCAAAATTTCACTGCATTGAACTTCAGATATTACTCTAAGTTATCCGTCCCTTAAACTTTACCTGACAGGTGTTTGCCTGTTGGATTTGAGAGCAGGTGTGCTCCGAAGGTAAAGAAAGTGATCAGTCCTTGTTTCTGAAGCTGTTTTCCCAGCATGCATCACTGTATTTATTTCAGCTGCTGCTCCGCTATGCAGACAGCTGAACAACATGAAAGGCCTTTACCCATCAGACAAACACATGCACGCACCCACGCTAGCAACGTGTACACAAAAACACACAAACACACATGTATACAGGAAAAAACAAGTCTCTACGGAGCTTTTGATCAAAGCCATGTGCTCGCCTGCTCCTACATTTGCAGACCAATCAGAGTTTAAGATATGTACCATCATGGCAGGTATGGAGAGTACGCATCTGCATTTGCTGCTTCAGGTGATGCCTCTTGGTTTACACGTGTGTGTGTGTGTGTGTGTGTGTGTGTGTGTGTGTGTGTGTGTGTGTGTGTGTGTGTGTGTGTGTTTGCGTGTGCATGTGCGTGTGCTGGAGGTGCTCATTCACCAACACTAATGGCCTTTAACCCCCTGAGATGCCTGAGTCAGCAACTCTGCTGTCACGAAGGTTGAGTAATATTAAAGCCTGTGTGTGTGTGTGTGTGTGTGTGGAAGTGTGTGCACATGTGTGTAAGTCAGTGTGTGTGATGCCTTATGAAACATGCATCAGTGACATGCCGCTGCAGAGATGATTGAGTACATGATTGTGCGTGTGTGTGGGAGAGTGTGTGTCGAGGTTTTCTTCTCTTTCTGTCTTAGTGATTACTCCTTTTGTTTTACTGCTTCCTTACAACTCCCACAAACACGTGCACACACACACACACACACACACACACACACACACACACACACACACACACACACACACACACACACACACACACACACACACACACAGTCACATCACATCAGTAACAGACATAGTGGCATCTGTTTTGGCATAAATGATGGTTCAGGAGAGACAGATAAAGAGATGCAGAGACTGATGGGTTGAGCTTTGTGTAAAAGTGAAAAGCAGGATTTCTGTTAAACAGACGGCTAAACAGTGATTTTTACAAATTAGTCTTCCTCTGGGAAAACTGCCTGACTGCTTCTTAACATAGCTCTGTCTCATGTTAAGGGATTACCAATAAGCAAATTCATACAATTTTGATGATGCAGTAATGAGTGAGAAACTCCTTTTCCTTCATCTACCGTTAATTATTATTTATCCTCAATCTTCTGTTTATGGAAATGTAGTAACTTGAATGTGACCTACAGTTAGGTCACAGTTTTAGACAGATTGTATTGTTCTACTTGGCTCAAATCTACATCAAATCTACAAAATCTACATTTTTTAATGTCACAATAACTAAATAAATAAAGGCTGACCGTTATTAGGGTTGTCCTCTGCTGATTATTGGGGCTTATATTTGTTGTTTGCCTGATATTTTGAAAAATAAAAAAACCTAAGCATGTTGGATTTTCACAGTGCATGTGTGCAGTCAAGAAAATATCAATTGATACACTTTTTTAAGTGGCATGCCATAGATTCACAGATTTACAGAATAAGAGTAACAATAACAAGAACAACTAAAAATACCAGATGACAAGGAAAACAGCAGTTATTTCAGTCACTACAAGCACTACCAGCTATGGAAAAAATGCTGCATTTCGCAAGTTGGATATAGCGATTTTATCCATTTTTTGTCTGATTCTCTTTTCAAGTAGAGATAAGATATGATAAGGCTATAAATCAGAGATGTACAACTGACTTACAAACCAAATAAAATGTTCTGAACAGGACAATTTTGAATGTAATGTTTGAACTTAGCAAAAAAGCACAAGATAATAAATAAATGTATATCTATCATAAAAAAAAACAATTCATTAAAAAGTCAACCTTTGCTTTCTTTATTCAGAAAAAATATACAGTTTCCACATGTATTTGTACTTGTTACCAGGGCAGACTTGCCCTCAGCAATATGGCAGACTCACTAACATATTACAGCAGCGGGAGAACACAGCCAATGAGGTTTCTATGTGTTTGATGTCTATGGGTGTGACGAGATCTTGTGAGACACCTGATGAGTGTATTCTTGCGAGATCTTGTTACACCCATCTGTTTGCTGTTTGTGTGCTACTGACTAAAATGATGGAGTTGTTGACAGAAGAGAATCACAGGGAAATCCAAGGTATTATTGCATGATGTACCAAGACCCTTTACACTACACACTAAGGCTTCCCCTGAAACCCACTGAGGAGAAGTCCAAGGTCATGCATGTGAAGATAGTGCTGCAGAGTCCAGTTCAATGTCTCAGGGGTGAGGAGAGGGAGCAGCAGAGTAGGTCAGGTCACAGTTGTGGCATGGAGACCTGGTGACAACACTGGCCAGGTTCAGAGTTTGATGAGAAACAATCACAGCCTCCTAGTATGAATAGATTCAGGGGAAAAGCACCAGAAACTGGTCCTGAGTATGTGCAGTTTACTAGGCCAGCAGACCATTATTCTTTTGTACAGCGTTAGTCTGTCAGACCTATTCTCTTTGGTTCAACAACAGCAACAGGCAGATACAAAAATATCATATATGGAGATGCTGCACTGACTAGCTAGATTGTATGTTTACATTGCCATCATATTGCTGAGGGCAATCTCGAAAGACGCCCATTCACAAGTCTCACCCCAGCCAGTATGTAATCTGTTGGCTGGGGTAGCAACACTTGCACCTCTCCTGAAGGTCCTGGTTCAGATGCCTTAGCAGAAGCATCAAGAGTAACTAAACATTCACCAAAGAGAATGTCCCTAAAAAGATGCTGGTTGTACTGGTTTTGCTCTATCTGTCTCGCGCTCATGTTTCTCCATCCATTCGTTATCCTTGGGAATAGCTCTACAAAAACTGAACAGATTTGCGTAACATGTAAGTTAACTGCAGCTAACACTAACAAGCTAAGGCTACCATACTAACATTAAACCCCTATCATGTCACTGTTTTCTCTGCTAACAAAACTAAGCAACAGCTCCAGCTGACAGATATGATTTTAAACTTCACATTGTGTGGGTATACTCGCCTCCACAGTGGAGTATAATGTATGGTATGCTGGTTGCATATAGGGGTAGTGTGTGTCATATAAGCGCCTTGTCTTACACCCCTCCTCCCTCGTCTCATGATAAAGTGTGTGCAGCAGGTTTGCCTTGCTAAGTATACCTGAGGGAACTCTACACTCTGTAGCTTAACTTTATCATCGCTGACATGCTAGTATGAGTGTTTGGGGAGAGAGAGTGTGCAGACGGCCTTGGTCAACCCCTAACACACTTCACCAGCTACTGCAGAGACACAGTAATCCGTCATACTTACCTACACACAAACACACAGTCATATGCATGCACTGCAAGGATACATATCTATACAGTACATCTATATATCACTTTAGACTTCACATTAAAGGGGACACTCACAGATGCTTCAGATGTGAGACTAAAAAGAAAAATAACAGTTGTACGCTATGTACAGTATGTTCGATCCAAAATTACAGGACTGAATAAAAACTTTCAAAAGAAGAATTAGAAAGTAGAAGTGTTCAATTTATTTGTAACCTGAAGCGGCACAAGCTGAAACCTTTTGATTTTTCAATATTCCTAATAAATCAGTTTTTAAAATTAATTAAAATTAATTATCTCTAGGGTGGCAATCAGTGTAACAGACCACTATGATGAACTTGTGTTATAACTGTATGCTTATTTGTGTGTGTGTGTGTGAGAGAGAGAGAGAGAGAGAGAGAGAGAGAGTGTGTGACTTTGGAAGGAGTAGAAATAAGGATAAACGAGAGCAAGGGGGTTTAAATGTGGTTGAAGACGGAGAAAGAGATAGTTGCTGTTCTGTGTAAAACAATAAAAGCCGATTCATGTCTACATTCCTCAGCTGGTAGTAAAACCTGCTCGCTTACTTTAGATGAGGGCTCTGCCAGTCTCTTTCCCCACACAGGCCTCTTTCCCTGTCTTGGGTTCTCTTTCCTCTTGCTCTGTTTTTTACATGCTACTGTACAGCTGGAGATTTCACACAAACAGGCCAAAAATCTGATCTAAGTATACTGTTCCTACAAGCATTCTTCTGGTACAGTGTGTGTGTCTGAGTCCAAATTTTGACGTGTGTGTGTGTGCGTGTGTGTGTCAAAAACTGTGTTTTTGTATATGTGTGTTTTGAGTAGCTTGACACACACACATATTTCAAGACAATCCCAGACCTTGCTGTGATGTAAGTGTGTAAAGACAGACCATTGTAAGAACAGTTTCTGGCTGCCCCGCAGAAACAACAAGTCCTTTTGGTGTTACCTGGTCTGGAGAGCAGGAAGCAGAGAGGGTCTAATCAGCCTGGTTTCAGCTTCTTCATCCTTATCTTCGTCCTGGGCTGACTCGCCAGGCATTCCTTTCCTCTCCACCAGCGGGAGACTCCTATCCTGTGTTGGCCCCAGCTTCATACAAACATCTATAAAAGTGATATCTAAGCAGGATTATGAACTGTAAGGTGGGAGACAGAAGAGTTTTAACATGTTGTCTTTGATTAATCAACTCATGTCGAGCATAACAAGCGTTTGTATCTACTTTTTCATGCTAGGAGATGCTTTCAGGTGTTAAAGCAGCATTGAGGGGCTGATTTATCTTAAAACATTACTTTTCACTTTATAAAAGTGTTAAACTCACACAGACACAAGCTGAGCAGAGAGAAAGTGGCAAATTGGGCTTTGATTTTGAAATTCATAGTAGAGTTTTCATGCTTGTGACATAAACACAGCTGATTCAGAGCCCACACAGCCTTAAGTGTATCATTTTTTGGTGTGTTTTTTTCTGAGGTCTGTGCATAGCTGGAGGAAGAAACCAACCAACCTTCTATTTTCTGGATTTTCAGCTAGTGAAACTGAAGTGAGACGGATCAAAGAGGGTAACCTACACACCAGAGTAAGCTATCGGCTATTGGCCCATTCTTTCATGGTTAACTCAAGTTGGGCTGTGTTATGACCTGGCATCCTGTTATATGTTCATAAAGACAGATTAAAGCTGCATGAATCCTCTGACAGAGAGAGTGTTGACAGTTTTTTACCATGACAACATCACAATATGAAAAAGAGAAAATTGGTAAAAACACTACAGTAACACAATCATATGGGGCTGAGGTGCAGATCTAAATCTCCTATTTATTCTCCTATTATAGCCCCAGATGCTGATAATACAGTTATTGGAGTATTATTTTTAGTGAGATACAAAGTTTGTCATTGTCAGTTTCAATAAGGTTTCAGTGATAAGAAAAGAGCCAGAAAAGTCAAATTTAAGTTAAGTGTCTATATTTAGTACATTAAAGGGTAGTGGATCAGTTGTCCTTCTCTTCTTTCTAGGGCTGCTTGATTATGGGAAAAAGTCATCAAGATGATTATAAGGATTAATACTATTATCACCATTGTTACAAGCACCCATATTTTGACATCTGCATCACATTTGACACCTTCATTCAACCTAAAAGACATAACAGGGCAACACAGCAGACAGCACTTCATCATTGAGTCTTTGGTCTTGGCGATAATATTTCTATGATCATAATCAAAGTTAAAATCTCATTTATTTAGGATCCTTCCTAACCTAAAAAGAAGAATCTAAGCTGACCAAAGGTGCCACAAATGAAAGCAGAATGCAGTCCACTCTGCTGTGTGTGTGTGTGTGTGTGTGTGTGTGTGTGTGTGTGTGAGCAGATGCTTTTTCCTCAGCATCCCTCACCCTGTTCTGGTATTCCCACCTCACCAGCTTTAAATTACTGTTTGCCAGTATAGCCCCCTTACCCGCCCTCTGTGAACTCTTTTATCCCTCTGCTTCTTACCTGATTATCCTCTTTCCTTTTCTCTTTTCTCTCCTCCAGCTTTCTCTCTCTGTTTACTCTGTCTCTCCTACTTTTTTCATTCTGTGGTTTCTGGGCTTTGCAGGAATTCCTCCTCAGCTCCACTCCTCGAATCAATTCCCCTCCGAGTCAGTCACTTCCCTTTCTCTTTTTTTACCCTCACCTCCCATGTCTCATCCTCCTTTTTTCTCTAGCTTCACATTGATTTGAAGTGCCTATTTTCTCAGTTTTACACAGCTCTACAGCACATCCATGCCTCTCCACTCACCTGTTTTTTTTTTCTTTCCACAATCACTGCTTCCTTTTTCTGTCCACCTCTTGTATCTGCTCTCTTGCTCTCTCTCATTTTCTCTCATCATGTCAGTGTTATCTGCTGATTTGCTCCATCCCAAACCTCCCACTCCTTCCCCGTCCTCATCTCTTTCTCTCTCTCTCTCTCTCTCTCTCTTTCTCTCTATTCTCTTTTCTGTTGGCTCTGTCTTTTATGGGAACTGGTGGGAGGCTTTGGTGGTCCATCTTGAGTAATAGTTTGTTTTGATGCACTGGTACAGATAGGGATAGAGGCTTAAGGACCAGGACAGAGGGGGGGAAACAGAGTGGGAAAGGACAAGAATAGATCAATTTGTCCAGAGAAAGAGAAGAGGAAGAGGAGGAAATGAAAGAGCAGACAATAGGAGAGGAGGAAGAGACATATGAGTGATGGCTCTCTTCACAGTGGCTGGTTTTCCCTCACAGTGGACCCTCAGGGCTGAGGGTGAGAATGAATTAAGGCTATGCAGACCTCTGGAGACCCTCTTACTTCGTGAGGGGATACAGTGATGAGGGTGAGGAGAAGGAGGCAGCGCCCTGAGTTGGGGAGTCAGGGGGAAAAACCCCCAAGAGGTCCCTGTGTGGCGTGAGAACCATGTCAAAGCTATAGATGGCAGCCTGCGAGGATTATGCAAAGTCAAAAAGCAGATGACTGAGCACACACATGGCATGTCTGTCGATCTCCCTCCTTGTTTGAACCATTGATTTATTTACTGTGTTCAAAAGGCTGTATGGACTCCAGGATCAGAGAGGAGCATTGATCTGAGAGTGGTCGATCGGCTTTTGATCAGATTATCAGCTTTTTCTAAAAGATCAGATGAGGCTGGGAAGTTCTAGACAACTGAAGGCAAATATTTACCTTTGTTTTTGATTACAGCCCACACAGGTTCTCTTTGTATATGGAGCTGCTGTCAGACAAAAATGCTGCTGCAAAGTTTTTTGCAGCGGCTTTCAAATGTACAAATCTCAGTCAGCTGATCTTTTTTTTTTTTTTTTTTTTTTTAGGGCTGATACTCTTACTGATTGTAAGCAGTCCATGAACAGTGAACCAGTGACAGACATTTGGAACCAGTATTCACTCACAGTAGAGAGACTGACATTGTCAACATCCTAAACAGGAGTAAACAGAAAACCGTTGACCATTCACATGCTCCGGTGATATCTAATAATCAATATTCAGTCTATACAACACTGATCTCACAATACTGATCTAGCTGACAAACAATTCAGAGCTGCCAGATTAAATCAAAGTCATAATCAGGACAATTTTTTTGATATCAATATCAGGGTTATTAAACAGCTATTCATTTAAAAACAAAACATAATTGTTCAGATCATTTTTAAATGTTAGCTGTGAAAAATTGTTGTTTTTTGATTGTTTTATTTGTTTTTATGTCACTGTACAGCACTTTGGCTACCCTTGTGGTTATTTTAAATGTGCTATATAAATAAAGTTGATTGATTGATTGATTGATTGAAAAATGGCAGATTTAGTCTGAAAATCATTCAATAAATTAAGATATGTCTTTCCATTTGGATTTCATTAAGATGTGGTATAGACACAAGCAAAAGCTGTATTGCACACAGTTATTAAATCATGTGCACAATGTGATAGTCTTGTATACATAAGATAATCCTGTGCACGTAAGTTATTATCTTTTGGGAATATGTGCACATGAGTTATTTACTTGTGCACACAATAAAATAAGCTTGTGTGTCCAATAAAAAAAAAAAACACACACACAAAAAAAAACATAACTTTTTAGGACTTAAAGGCCTCTGTTGGTTTGCATTTTAGGCAACATTAGCCTAACATTAGATGACATTCGAAAATCTCTGCCACTTCTCTTCTTTAAGTCATTTTTGGTGAAAGATTCCTCTGGAGCGGTGTTACACTGGCTCACTGGTCTGATTAAAAATATTTGAATGAGGCTATTCTCTCAGATCAAACCTGGCAGGTAATACATGAGCTGCATGAACCGTCAGTCAGCCAAGTCGAAAATCTGGCTTTACTTTGTGCATTTTCTGATTTCCATTTTTCCACTTAAAACAGTATGATTGAACTCTGTCCTTTGAGCTTTTTGAAGTCATAAAATGTTACTTCCAACTCTGCTCTTTCTTTTTTAATTAGGTCTGCATGTTTTCTTTATGAATCCTGCTAGAAACTTTTTCCCCTTAAACTTGTTCATCATACATTTAAGTCTGTTTTTCTTCTACAGATGTGAAAAAGTTGAATTTGAATCTTTACCCACTTAAAGTCTGCTGGCCCTTTAAGTCCTCTCTCTCTCTCTCTCTCTCTCTCTCTCTCTCTCTCTATCTATCTATCTATCTATCTATCTATCTATCTATCCCTCTCTTTTATTTGTATAGTACTTCTTCCTTCTCCCTCTTAACCCCTTGTCCTCTTTTTATTCACTCCAACTTCAGCTCTGGGCTGAATTCTCCCTCTCCTCTTCCTTCCACTTTTCTTGCATTTTCACAGCCCATATTGCAGTGATTTGCACCATCTTTTATGATCAAAGTAAAAGCACTAAGTTCAGTCACATTCAAATCCCTAAGAGGGTCAATTGAATCATAGCCTTTCTTCTTTCATCTTAGGGTCCTCACGCCTCTCTTGCTTTCCCCATCTCACTATTTGGCTCCATCTCTCTACTATTTGTCAATGAATTGACATTTCTGCTCCCCCTGTCTCCCCTGTTACTGTCTGCAGTCGGTCAGCTGAATAAACAGGGCCTTCTACGTCAGAGAGCCGTCCCACAACCCCTATCACACGCTTCTGAGGTTAGGGTTCATTATTTCTGGTTCCCCCAGGAGACCTCTGTGAAGAAAGCAATGAGTTGTGGACAGACGGGAACAGCCTCTACCCACACAAAAGCAAAACAGACAGTTTTTAAATAAAGTCAAGGAGCTGGAGCCCAAAACAGCATCCAGCACATCTGAAGTATGAGCTGGAAATGGAGACAGCAGGACATGCAGAGAAAAGCTGCATCAGGTGCAACAGTGTCTGTTTGTTAGAAATGAGATTTGTGACCTGATAGGAGTTCATGCATACAGGCTGCATACTTTCTTAGATTAGCTCTGAGAGGAAAGATTGGTTGAATTGGTTGTGTTTGAAAGTCTCAATGTTTTGTTTACACGCTTGATTCACACAAATGACTCGTTGTATTTGCAAGTCATATGTTGTCGTATTGCAAACATATGAATTCATGCCAGAGAGGAGGGATTTCCTTTATGCCATCTCAGACTGGTTACATCACACATAGTTCGATTTTGATGACATTGTGAGAATTTATTGTGTTTCTCAAAGCCAACATCTTTTCAGTCCTGTTTCTTTATTGAAATCAGGTTGTATTGTAGAGCTTAGGTGGCTGAGTAACATCACCATTGGCTCGTCCTCCATTTTCCAACCGAATGAACCTCCACTGGTCCATTGCTGAGGTCGGTTATCAGGGACTTGGGGGTTTGGGGGGAGACTTAAAGAGACAGCACCCAAAAGAAGTGTTCCAAATGAAGGCTAAAATAATGATATTTAATACACCAGAGTGTGAAATAGGAGGCTGTTTCCTCTTCTTCTTGACATGATCTGAAAATCATGTTAAGAGGAATCAGAGAGGAAGTATAGCATCTGGAAAAATGAATAGTACCCCCAGTTTAACCAAAATTACTACTATTGCTTCCATTCTGGCACCAACAACAGTGAGGGAAAACATTCAAAGACTCCAATGGTGCCCTTTATTCTGTGGCAGTAACATTTGTTTGTCTCCAGTTAACACCATGACATTGTTGAGATGTCAGCCTCGAAAGGGATGTAAGATGTAATACAGATATCAGCTAGCTTGAGTGCATGACACATTATATACTGAAAAGCCAGTGTCTGATTGGCTGATGGATTGGTCTATCCCTTGTTGTTTTAATGTCCATGATCGTTTTGTTGGATCAAGCATCAGAATATTTGCAAGCAGAAAACATTGATGATTTGTTACACCCAACATCAAGTGACGGTGTCATACAGAATTGTTGCATGTGTATATACGTAATGCCGTTGATGACTAGTGATAACATAACATAGGGTTGTCTGTGGAAGAAGATTTCACCACCATCTCACAGTGGTGCTGGAAAACAAGTGGTAGAAGTAAAAATGAGAGATGGGCTTTCTAAAGGGAAAAGCGGGTAAAATGTACAGGTCCTTGTTTCCTTTTTTCTACTTTGATTCTGAGAAAGAAATGTTGATGATTAATGCTTGTCCGAATAAACTCCCGCTGCACAGAAGTGTGTGGCAAATTCGTGCAGAGCATTTGAGGGTTTATTTTTTTATCATCTCCAGTGACAGTCTTTAGCCTTAAAGGCATGTGAAAAGAGTTTGGGAATGCATGCTGAGATCTACATGGGCCTTCTTTCTCCTGTTGTCACATCTCATCACAGTGCCATTGTTTGTCTCCAGGCTGCTGTTGTTTATCTCTTTCTAATCACTTCAGTCCTTCAGCCGCAGCCGCTCTACACTCTCCAGGCCTGAGAGGACCTGCAGCAGCCCTGATAACACTAACACACACTCACTTAAATGCATACATGCACTTACGTACAAGTATTTGTGTATGGAGAACTACAGTTATCTATACACCCACTTAGACCTGCACACTGGCACACACACATGTAAACATGGACACCAAAGTTACGTATACAGACCCACATGAACCAGAACACGTGCAGGCATGAGTGTCCAAGGAGCTGAGAGGGGCTAATAAACTAACCACCTGCTATCTGTGCAGCAGTGAGTCTGTCTGCTCTCAGAATCAGTGTGTGTGTGTGTGTGTGTGTGTGTGTGTGTGTGTGTTTGTAGATAAGTGAAGTGGGAGTCCAGCACTAATCAGCTGCTGTCTCGCTTTCTAATGACACTCTTCACCGTCCTCTCGTAGCACCACCACATCTCCACAACAAACATACATCCTCTGCAAACACACAGAAACACACGCACACACGGCTTCACAGTGTTTATTCTGTGAAATATAGAGTGACATTTTATTTATTTATCTATTTATAAAATAACACTGTAACACTTCAGGAAATAAACAGGAATACATTTATAAATTGCCCAATCAGTACAAGTATGGTGTGTAATCATCGTCAAGGGATCCCTGGTAAATGCAATAGCATATACACTTTTTTCAGGAGTTCCAGTTTGGTGTTTTTTCTTGGTAGAGATCAGGCCCTGTATATTTTAAAACTATTGTCCCTCCACAGATAAAGCATGACTTGTCACAATATACCATCTTGAGGACACCCATTGGACCCCTGTCTTCTATAGCTGCGTTTCCATTAAATTTTTTCGGTGTTTATCAAATTTTGACAAAGTTCAATTGCGATTTGCGGGTGTTTCCATTGAACTGTGTTCAGTGCATAAGCGAGCCGTCTGCCTCTCGTGAGCCGTATTTGAATGGCCGTTGCCTAGCAACGAGGTAAACTTCCTGCCCGTGCGACCTCGTATTCCTTAAGCCTTTTTGCACACCAACATGGACGAGACACAAAACATTTTGCGTTTTGGAGCAGCTATTTCTGTGACCATTACTGCTGTTGCCGCTGCTGTCATCAGAAGACGAAGGCAGCAGGTGATAATTCATAGGCAAAGTCCGTATGTATGGGAGCGGACACGGATGAGGGATTTCTGGGAGAGGATCGTTAATGAGGAATTCACAGATGAATTGTGGATTCAAAACTTCAGAAAAATACAAATACAATTCAAAACTTCAGAAATAACTCTGTCTCCTCCCCCGTCCACACATACCGCGACATCTTTGCTTGAAATGAACTGGTCACATGACCCGCTACGTCACGTCCGGTGACAGAGAATTGCGAGAATAGTGTTTCCATTACACTTTTGCGATATACTTCTATATCGACACGTCTGAAAAACCACCTCATGAGAGCGTAAAAACTTTTTAGCGATATTTCAGAGGTTTTTGAAATTTAGGTGTTTCCATTACCAGTTTTCTATTGCGATATTTAGGTTTTGCGCAAATCTAGGGGTAATGGAAACGCAGCTTTTGATACTGATTGGCCTGCAGACAGATGCCACCTATTTCATGAGTGCTGTTAACTTCATTCAGTTTCACGCTCACTTCTATGGCAGTTTGCACACATCAGAAAACTAAACCCTTTGCTGGCTTTTTGTGACGAAGTTGTCTATTGACATCAGTCTGAGCTAAGTATCAAGGTGCAACCCTCACAGATAGTCTTTTAGTGATGAACCATTTATGTTTGAATGAACAATGGAATTAAAAAATTCAATCAATTCATCCAAGAGCTAAAATCATTTTCATGCATAAGATTTAGGACTTGTAAAGTGGGTTATCTGGGAATATTTCCAGGCTGGTAGTGTCATTTAAAAGCACAGTGGTGCTGTAATTATTCATTATGGAGGGGGCTGGAACTAAGAACATGATGCACCACAGGAGAAATAGATAAGCTTTAGGGATGCAAATTGTAAGTATTCTTGGTGATTTATCTTTGGTAATGCCGGCAATGAAAATCCATTACCAAGATTTTTCCCTATGACCAAAACAATATCGGATATGTTTTTTTTCGCCTCAATCCTGTATTTCCCACAGCAACAATGCTGACAATCGTGCAAGACTATGGAACATAAAGAGGTGAACAAAATGGGTTCCAACAGGAAATAACTAGTCGACTACTTAAACCAGTGGGTGCTGTTGGTATTTGCTATCAACTTGATGCGTCAGTATTACAGGGACAGGGTCTGACCTCGGCTCTGATGTGCTGTTAAAATGTATCATTCTGTCTGCATCTTTTCTACATAACAACTAATCAACCAGTCCACTACTTCTCTGACACAATTAGTGACTAGTGAAAATAAGTACTGCCCTGGCTTTGCGTGTGCAAAATCACATGCAAAGTTGATAGCACATGCAAAGCTGATCTACTAATTGGGTGAACCACGAATTGCATTTGCCAAATGAGCAAAACAGTGCGTGCAATCCATTTAACGTGTTTGCCTCCATGAATATACAGAATGTATGTAGATCATCAGACCACGCAAAATCCTGGGAGGAGCAGATGCAAATGCAATCATTTAGCACCCGCAATGTGATTTATTAAACCCAGAAACCAATTGCAATAACTGTTTTGTGTCTTTATTCAGCATGTTTAAAAGGCAGGTGCAAACTGGCACAGCATTACGTACAGTCATTTTGGGGAGAAGGAGGCAGAAGTTCCATAATAGATGCCATGACCCTTGTCCAAAAGCTTGTGATTTATTTTGTTTTTCTGGTTAATGATGATTTTCATAAATAATGAGGTCAAACACAGAACAGATGAAAAAATTAATCTCTTTGGGCTCTATTTCCGTGCCTCACCGGAGACGTGCCACAGGCGCGGCGTAAGTCAGGTCCGCCACGCCGACGAGGCGTTCCCAAGCACAATTTGGTATTTTGGTGAGAGGCGAAGCCCAGCGTAAGTATCCCCCCTCCCTAACTCAGGTCCTCCCAGCGGCGTAAGTCGTGGCGAGGGAGGAGAAAGGGCGTGGAGTGGGTTTAACACAGCCGAGACCTGTTTTCACCAATCACATACGCTCCTCTCCTTGCCTTTAAATCCGCCACAGGCGAGGCGTGTTACTATTTTCGGGAAGTAGTCAAAGAGATCAAGAGATGTCTGAAGACAGTAATGCCACAAGATGGCGACATAAAGCAGCTCCGCAACAAGTGTCACTGTAAGCGCTGCATTGGGTGTCCTCCACACTCTCTCATATGAGCACAGATGGATTTGGTGTGTGTAATGTTGGACCCCCTGGTAAGACAAACACCCTTTTCCACAAATAAAGACACTCACATAAAGTTGCACATATTCAAACCTCACATGAAAAAGGTGGGTTGAGCGCATAGATCACAACATAAACTCCAAAAATGGCATTAGAATCGGAACCATCTGTGCGTAAATGATGCATCGTGCTCCGTGGCCTGGCTCTTTCTTTCATAGATGTTGGCATATAAAATAAATTTGGCTCACAAAACGGAATATTATAATATCCGTATGTAGGCATAAAGTAAATAACTCATCTGAGCACTGAAACAATCTGTTCAGCTGCTGCAGCTGGAGCAGGACGGAGAGAGGACACAGAGACATGTCAAGGTCAAGCTGCATGAGAAATAAGAGGAAGAGGAAGAGAGAAAAGGAGGGAGATGAATCACATATCTTGTTAACTTCATCATGTGTGAATATTTACTAGATATTTAATTTAATTTAATGCGGTTTCAGCTGTGTTGATTCGGTCAGGTTGTGTGTCCAAACGCGTGCCAAACGCGCTCATCAGATCAGATATAGATCAGAATATATCGATATAGATATAAATGTGTGTGCTGACTCAGATGAATAGTTGTTGATGATTATTTATTGCACTAAAATGTGCCTGACACTGTGGAAACCTGCCTGTGAGGCATCCGTGACATATGCCGATACGCTGCCGGTCTACCAAAATACCACTAGACCAGCTGCGCTGAAAGCTGACCAGGTTTTAATCGGCGAGCTTTCAGCGCACTTTACACGCCGGTGGCAAGCACGAAAATGTCACTGCGCCCGCTGATTCTGTCGACACCTCCCCCTGCCTCGCCACCACGCCCAGCTTGGCGGATCTCGGTTCGCCTACGTGCGCCTCAGTCCACGAAAATACCAAACTGGCTGTACGCTGGGCCCCGCCAGACGAAAATACAACTGCACGGGGTCCGTCACCCTCCACCGCCTCACCGGCGAGGCACGAAAATAGAGCCCTTTGTCTTATTGATATTAAATTGTTTTAATCCCTTTTCGGCTTCTAAAATGTTTACTTGCATATCTTGTCATTGCAGTGTATTCAATTGAATGTAGGTGGAAATGGATTTGCAAATCATTGTATTCTGTTTTTATTTATGTTTATCACAATTTCCCAACTTCAATGGAATTGGGTTTTGTAGATCAGGCCCTAAGTATCAACATGTAGAGCAGGCTCATGATAATAATCCCTGCAGTCTTGCAGTTCCACAGAGCAAGGCTTGAAGGACTAAATGTAGACAGAATTACATTTCATTCACACACAGTGTCCAGTTTTCTGCATACTTGTTCTTACTTCTTACTTGTTCATACTTGTTCTTCTCATACTTGTTCTTTTATACTTATTCTTACATTCAAATGATGCGCTTGAACCAAGAGGTTGCTGCAAGTCTGGTCTCTCTGTATTATCTGTAATTTTTGTAATTTATACTAGATTTTTTTCATATTTTTGTTGTAATTTTGTTGGCTGCTGATGGATACTTCTGCTGGGCGAAGGGTTTACTCAAGAGAAGAGCTCCTTTCATTGAGGAAAAGCAAATCTGGACAGCAACATACAATTCCAGAGAACATCAGAAAGTGTTATCGTGTTTGCCGTGCTGGTGCAAAGGTGAAGGCAAAGCTGAATGCTAGGAGGTGGCGATATAAACCTTTTCTTCCATCAATCATCATGGGAAACGTCAACTCTCTGCCTAACACAAGCGATGAGCTGGAGACATTGGTGAAGACTGAGAAAGCATACCGTGAGTGCAGTTTCCTGTGTTTTACTGAAACCTGGTTGAATCAAAACAGCTTGGACTCCAGTGTGGATCTACCTGGCTTCACTCTCATAAGGTCAGACAGAGATGCTCAAGCTAGTGGCAAGAGGAAAGGAGGAGGTCTGGCTTTATTTGTCAACCAGAGATGGTGTAACCCTTCACACATAACTGTCGAGGAGAAGTTGTGTTGTCCAGATATTGAACTGTTGGCTGTTGCTCTTCGGCCATATTATGTTCCAAGAGAATTTAGTCATATCATAACAGTAGTTGTTTACATTCCACCCAAATCAACTGAAGAATGTTGCAATGTTTTGCCAAATAGTGTTGTCAGGCTACAGACTCAACACCCTGAGGCACTAATAATAATATCGGGAGACTTCAACCATGTCACCCTCTCCTCTCACCTGACTAGATTCACACAGTTTGTGAACTGTCCTACCAGAGAAAACAAAACCCTGGATCTGCTGTATGCCAACATCAAAGAAGCCTACAGAGCCACTGCCTTACCACGACTGGGCAAGTCAGATCATAACTTGGTCTATCTGCAAACCTGTTACAGACCTTGTGTGCTGAGGCAGCCTGTGACCAAAGTCAAAATAAGAAGATGGACACCTCAAGCCAGTGAAGCTCTAAGGGACTGTTTTAAATCAACAGACTGGAATGTGCTGCTGGAAATAGATGTGGATAGTATGAACATTGATAAACAGGTTGACTGCTTTACTGATTATGTCAACTTCTGTAGAGACACAGTTATACCCAAAAAGACTGTTCGCTGTTTGCCCAACAACAAACCCTGGATCACAAGAGACATAAAAGCAATCCTTAACAAGAAAAAGAAAGCTGTTAAAGATGGTGACAAAGAACAACTCAAACAAGTGCAACAAGAGTTGAAGAGGAGACTGAAGATGGCAAAGTTGGAGTACAAAAAGAAGATTCAAAAAAGATTCAAAAAGAATAATCTAGAACACAGCAACATCTGTGAAGTGAGGAGAGAAATCAGTACCATCTCTGGACACAGCAGTCAAAAGAAAAGACAGCCAGTGGTGGGTGATGTGGAAAGAGCTGATGAACTCAACCTGTTCTTCTACAGATTTGACACTGCTGTCACTCCCACTTCCACTGCTACTCCACCTTCCTCTCCGCAACAAATCTCCACTACAACTTCTCCCCTTCCTCCTCCATCACGTTCAAATGTCTCAACCACTTCAACTGCCTCCCTCCTAGAACACCAGTCCTTGTTTGTCACCGAAACAGGGGTGAGGATGGAGCTTGGTAGACTTTGTCCTGGGAAGGCAGGTGGTGTGTGTCCAAGGCTGCTTAGAGACTGTGCTGCAGAACTGTGTCAACCTCTCCACAAGATCTTCAACCTGACTCTACAGCTGGGGCGGGTACCTGCTCTGTGGAAAACATCCTGCATTGTGCCAGTACCAAAAACAAAATGTCCTGCTGAACTCAATGACTACAGACCAGTGGCCCTCACTTCACACATCATGAAAAACCTTGGAGCGGCTGATTCTACGCCTTCTGAGGTCTGAGGTCAAAGACAAACTGGACTCCCTGCAGTTTGCATACAAGGAACACATTTGAGTGGATGCTGTCCTCTACATGTTTCACCATGCCCTGTCTCATCTGGAGGAACCTGGGGTTTATGTGAGGATCATGTTCTTCGACTTTTCAAGTGCATTCAACACCATCCAACCCACCATACTCAAAGACAAGCTCACAGAGATGGGAGTGGATCCTTCCTGTGTTTCCTGGATCACAGATTACCTGACAGGAAGGCCACAGTTTGTCAGGCTGGGGAACTGTGTTTCTGGGACATTAATGAGCAGTACAGGGGCTCCACAAGGGACAGTGCTGGCGCCATTCCTGTTCACACTGTATACGTCAGACTTCAAATACAGCACTGACAATCCAGACACATCCCGAGATACTCAGATGACACTGCTATTGTGGCATGTATCAGAAATGGACAAGAAGCTGAATACAGAGATCTAATAAGAGCCTTCAGTGACTGGAGTCACAAAAACTGCCTCCTCCTCAACACCTCAAGGCAAAGGAGATGGTCATAGACTTTTGTAGATCCAAACCCCCTCTTCAGCCAGTGAACACCTGTGGAGTGGACATCGAAATGGTGACATCATATAAATACCTAGGTGTACATCTGGATAATAAGTTGGATTGTTCTAAGAATGTAGACTTCATCTACAGAAAGGGGCAGAGCAGCCTTTTTTGCCTGAGAAGACTCTGATCAATAGACATCTGTAGTAAGATGCTGCAGATGTTTTATCAGTCTGTGGTGGCAAATGTTCTGTTCTACGCTGCAGTCTGCTGGGGAGGAAGCATCAAACACAAAGATGCAAGACGTCTTAACAAACTGTTGAAAAAGGCTGGCTCTGTGGTAGGACTCAAGCTGGACTCAGTGGAGGATGTGGTGGAGAGATCTACACTGAGGAAGGTGGAGACTATTCTCAAGAACATGGATCACCCACTTCACAACGCCTTGATGGACCAAAGGGCAAATGGTGGTGGACAGAAAGATTTAGAAGATCTTTTGTACCAACAGTCATCAGGCTTTATAACGCTTATGTAAATAATAGATAACTTTTATAGCCATATGATGTGAGACAACAGACAATTGAATTTCCCTTCGGGGATCTAAATTAACTAAGTGTGCACCTGATGGACAATGCATGTTGGAGTACGTCCTCGACAATCAACTATTCAAACACAAACAGTTTTAAACATTCCTAATTAGCATGTAGTTAAAAGACATTATCACATTAATTACAGACCTTAATTGCATTGTGATTACTGTGTCAAAGTTGACAGCCCTAGTTTGAATAGAAATCAATTTGGTCAAAACTTTCTTAACAGCATCCATGACCTTGTGAACAGCAAGTGTAAACGAGTCATGAATTGATTCAAACAATGGTCAAGTAAACTCTAGCCTCAGGGGTGCCGCAGTGATTTTGGAACTGCATTCAAATAACATCTTATCCAATCCTACCACTTTACC